GCAATGAATGTACAAATGCGCTTTACACAATTGATGTGTGTATGGATTGTGATAAGAGTTGTATGAGCCCCTAATAAAACGATTAAAATAAACAAATAAATAAAAATACCGATGCGTTGGTCTCAGAAGAGAGACCACATCTGGCTAAAAAAGAAAAAAAAATGCTATAATAGAGGGCAGGAGGATGAACAATAGAAACCTTGGTGCAAGGGAGACAGTGGTCGGTGTAACATAGAAATAATAATTTATAGTTTATCATGGGGCCATGAGGGTGAGGGGGTGGGAGGAGCTGACACCAAGAGCTCAATAGAAAAATGTCTAGAAAATAATGATGGCAACATATGTACAAATGTGGTTGATATAATTGATGTATGGATTGCTACAAGAGCTGTAAGAGACCCCAATAAAAGTATTTTTTTTAAAAAGAAAAACAGAGCCTTCAATAAAATGCCTGAAGAAAAAAGAAAATGCTATACAAGACAAAAGTATAAAGGCCAAAAACAACAGAACCCTAAACACTTGTCCATCTTGGCATGCCATGCAAGCCTGATTTTCTATGCTGTGGCCAGGCAAGCAGACATTCGTCAAGTACTGCTATGAGGTGACTGTCCCACAGGCCTTCAAGGCAGACCCATCCTACAGTTCCCTACACAGGCAGGGGTGCCGGGAGGAGTGAGCAGAGGCCATGGAAGGCCACGTTTGCTGTGGAATTTGCCTGCCTGCCTGCCTCTACTATCAGTTCTGAAAGCCAGGTCCGTTCAGCTTTTGCTGCTAAGGAGCTCAGCTGCTTTGGGCAAGAGGCAGATGGAAGCAGTTTATGCTTTCACGAGACGACAGCTGAATCTATTATCATAATTAGAGCCTGAACGTAATTTGTACAGCGAGCGGCCCACCAAGCTGGAGCACAGACCACTCCAGGGGCGCAGGGGCATGTCCCAGCAACCCCGGGTCACCATGAAAGCCAACGTGCAGGCTTAGCACATGCTGCTGGAGAACCACAAAGCCGGTAAGCAGGAAGGGCAGTCTGGCAAGCAGACGTCCCATCTGCTTTCTGCCCACTGCACCTAAAGCACATGTGGCGCTCTGGCGTGGCCTACCAGCCTGTCCTGAAGCCGCTCTTCCAGACCACAGGCTCTGCTGTGACTCCACCTGCTCGCCCCGTCCCTGCCCGAGGTCTGAGCCACACCACAGCTCCGAGGAACCTGTGGCCTGTCCAAACTGAGAACAAGGGGGCTTCAAAGAACCCACGGGAAAGTTCCCATTCTTCAATTTCATTCTTGTCACACTTTTTGCAGGGGGGGGGGGGGGGGGGGGGGGTGTGTGTGTGTGTGTGTGTAAGGTGCATGGCACCTGGAAGCTGGCCTGAGCACATGAGGGTCGAGGACACCAGGACCACTGTTCAGAATGGCTGCCCAGGTGCTGAGGGCTGACTTTGGTTTGCTTTTTGGTTATTTTGTTTGTTTGCCAATTACCTGATTTCTATTATTTTCCTGGAGAGGCTAATTAAACTCATTTGCCTCCTGGCAGTCAGATTTGGATGCGGTGATGACCATTCTACTTGGCAGACCCCGCTCTGCTAGCACTGTGTGTGCTGCCTGCAGTATGCTGAGGGCTGTGTGGAGATGGCAAAACTCCAGTCAGGGCTTACAGTGGGGACAAGCAAAGACACTGGCCTGTGTGTGTGAAGCCCCGGCTCTGTCTGACGGTGCCATTGCTAGTGATGTAGCGCCCGCGAGTGGGTCCGACAACATCTATTTTCTGTCTTCTCTTCAGGAGATGCCCTCAACAAGCACACTGTGGTCCCGGCTTTGTCAACCCCGAGTCGCTTTCTCAGGAAAGGCAAACTCCACAAAGCTTAGGCAGTGGTGCAATGTGGGTCAATCATTACCAAACAATCTGCTACATGGAAGCAAGACCGGGAAGTTCAACATTTCGGCTTGTTTATGACCTAAACAAGCTATGCACAGGCGCAATGCTGTTTGCACTTTGTGCCTGTTCTGGACAGGCGGCCCGAGGTCGGTCTTCTCACCATTCTCATGTTAAACTAGAATTAGAGCCAGAAGGAAGGCGCCTTAGAGGCGGGCAGATTTTCACACCTTCACCATGTCTTAGCTGCGGGTGAAAGGGTCCTGGGACACACCTCAGGATCCTTCCTGCTGCGCAGGTGAGACCTTGCTGAGTCTCTCTCTCAAAACCTGTAAGTCCTTCAGACAGCCACCGCCGGCCTATGGTGTCACACACAGATCCTCCCGGTGCCAGACATGCTAGGGCAGCCGTTTAAAAGAAGGGGCTAAGTAGTGCTCCTGGAAACAGCTGACCTGTGGCCCAACCAACCTGGCCCATGTTCCCCACACCGAAAACTACAGTCACATACGGGATGCCCCTGCACTGGGGCCAGACAGGACAGCAGCATCGCCAAGCTATGAAGGCCAGGGTGCCCCGCTCAGCAGCAGCTCTGCTCCCATGGGCAAGCTGCCCCCGTGGCTCAGGCCCTGCAGGGGCGGCTGCTGACCACTCCCAGGAGAAGTGGCGGTGATCCTGAAGAGAGCAGCTTAGTTTCACATGCCCACACAAAGCTTCGCCATTCGTGTTGTAAAAGCAATGCTGACATAGCACCCCAGAGAGCAGGCTCTTTGTAGGGTGCTAGCAGTTCGAGGCACTTAATAATAAAGATCAGTGGTTCGCAACCCAGGTGCTGAAAGTCGTTTGTTACCCACTCAAAAACTCACTGCCATGCCATCAAGTACAGGCAGCCTCACAGCGACCCCACAGGACACAGTTAAACGATCCTTGAGCTTCCCGGACTTGAACTCTTTACAGGAATAGAAGCCCCATCTTTTTCCTCAGAGTAGCTGATGTTTTCACATGTTGCAGTTCGCCCAACTCGTAACTACAGACACCTGGGCTCCCCAACGGTTGCTCATAATGAAGCACTCAAAGGGCTCCCCGCCAACAGCGTGGCTCTCCCTCACTGGGCGCTCTGCACTCGGCAGCCGAGACCTATGTTTATGCTGCAACCATCACCAGGAGGGGCCAACCTGCAAATGCCCTCTTCATGCCAAGATGAATGAGGCTGAGAATCACTGGGCATCAACTGGATGGTGCAATATGGCCTCATATTCAACAGCAAATGTAACGAATTATAACAAGATGCAGAGACCTCTGGCTAGGACAAAAGGAGCTCTAGGAGCACAGGAGCTTTGGCTGCTAACCCAAAGGTCGCCGAGTCAAACCCATCAGCCACTCCTTGAGAGACGGCAGTGGCAGTTGCTTCTGTAAAGACTTATTGGCGACCCTGTGAGGACAGTTTTAAAAACTGACGGCGGGACCCCAGAACCAGCAGGACGTAACAAAACGGAGAGGTGCCGAGGGATCTCACGCAGGCTGAAGGGGAGGCAGCACGAGGTAGACTGGCAGCTGCATGGCCTTACCCTGAGAGCCCCTGTGTCCGCCACACCCCATGCAGAGCTGAGAGTACGCTCCCACTGGCAGTGCTGGAGCCCACCTGCAAATAAAGGCAAAGAAGTCAGCATCTTAGGAAACTCCCCAAAGACCATGGGGCACATGGCTCCCACAGCTCTAACCTCAAGATTAGCAGTTTGAAACCACCAGCTGCTCCTTGGGGAGGAAAGTGGGAATGAGGTTTTCTAGTATCCCAAAGAGCTGCAGCCTAGAAACCCACAGGGGCAGTTCCACTCTACCCTGTCGGGCCCAACTCAGCGGAAATGAAGGTTGGTTGGTTGGTTTGTTATGTAGCTAATAACTATATTGGATAAAGAATGCCATGATCAATCTAAAACCCGACCGACTTCTTCCATGTGGTCCTAATTACTAGAATGCTCCTATATTGTCCTATTTTCCACATGATGTGACTTTTACATTATTGATTAGGTCTGGAAATATGAGGGGGTACCCCCCCAAAACTGGAATTTTTTTTCAAAGCTATATAGATTTTTTACAAAATAACCTTGTAATCTTCAAAATAATCTGCATTGCTCAGGTGAGTAACGTGTGTGGGGCAAGAGAGGCATGCTGTCTTCTGCCCAAAACTGGTGCACTGAAATGGCTGCACGGTAGGAAAACCAGTACCCATCTGCCACAAATCAGACCATTTTTGTCACACACTGTTCCACTATCTTTTCAGAACCTCTAAATAGAAAGCTTGATCAACAGTCTGACATGGTGGAGCAAACTCCAAATGTACTATCCCTCTACATTAAAAAATAAATAAAAGAGCATCTCTTGATCTTTAATTTCAATTGACGAGCTTTCTGTGGATGAGGTGGCAATGGCATCTTCCTCTGGCTTGATTGATGTTTGCTTTGGGGATTGTAAGAATAGCGCCATTTCATAGACACTGGGCCTTTACTCAAGTACTCCCTCAATGCAAGAACACTTTGTTCTATTACACTGGCATTCCATGATGCTCACCTTCCAAACATGATCGCTGAAGAAAAAGCGGGTGCATAAGCAAATGTGATGGTGCCCAGCTATCAAAAGACATAGCGTCTGAGGTCTTAAAGGCTTGAAAATAAACAAGTGGTCATCTAGCTGAGAAGTAACAAAGCCCACATGGAAGAAGAACATGAGCCTGTGTGATCACAAGATGTGGAAGGGATCAGGTATCATGCATCAAAGAACAAAAAAATCATAATATCGTGAATGAGGGGGAGTGCAGAGTGGAGACCCAAAGCCCATCCGTAGGCTTAGAGAAGGGTCGCGGGGAGATGAGCCAGTAAGAGTGCAGTATAGCATTGATGAAATATAAAGCTTTCCTCCAGTTCTTTAATGCTTCCTCCCCACAACTATCATGATCCCAATTCTACCTTACAAATCCAGCTAGACAAGAGGATGTACACTGGTACAGATAGGAACTGGAAACACAGGGAATCTAGGACAGATAAACCCCTCAGGGCCAATAATGAGAGTAGCGATACCGGGAGAGTAAGGGGAAGGTGGGGTAGAAAGGGGGAACCGATCACAAGGATCTACATATAACTCCCTCTCTGGGGGAATGGACAACAGAAAAGTGGGTGAAGGGAGACATCGGACAGTGTGAGACATGACAAAACAATAATAATTTATACATTATCAGGGGTTCATGAGGGACGGGGGGACAGGGAGGGGAAAAATGAGGAGCTGATACTAAGGGCTCAACTAGAAGGCAAATGTTTTGAGAATGATGAGGGCAACAAATGTGCCTGACACAATGGATGGATGGATGGATTGTGATAAGAGTTGTATGAGCCCCCAATAAAATGATTAAAAATAAAACAAAACAGCACCGTGTCTCGTCAGCCATAATAACCTTGGACAAACAAGTCTGGGTGCTTCAGAACTGTTCTTTCAAAGCCCAGCATCTTTCCAGGAGGCGCTCTTTATCCTGGTCAGTCAAAAGCTGAGGCACAAATGTCGCAGCAACCTTTCGCATTCCCAAGTCTTTGATTAAAATTCACTGAACCAAGCTCTAAGATAGTCCAGATAACTTCCCCATTTCTTCAATGGTCCATCCTGGGTCTCTGAGCACAAGTGCATGAATTCTGTCAACATTTTCGTCTGTTTTGGAAAGTTCATGGACATCGAGAATAAGGTTTGTCATCAATCAACGTTTCACCTTTTTGAAACCACACATACGTGAGTTTTTCCCATAGCGCTGTCCTTGTAAGCTATGTTCAATACTACAACTGTCTGCGGCATTCCCCTACCCACCCCAAAACAGGAAACAAAATTTCACGGCCACATGCTGTTCTCTTAAGTTGGCCATCACAAAAAAATGCGTTATGAGCAAAACTTATTTTACGAAAAAAACCACTGTGACCAGATAAAGCCTTCCCGGGCCATGCCACTGGGTGCACTAACTCAGAGCAAGTTGCTCAAATCTTGCCTAGCGAGGAAAATGCATACTATGAAAGCTCTGCCCGGCAGAACTTTTTTCCAGTTTTGGGGGGGCACCCCTTGTATATATGACATTCCCCTGGCCTCTTAGTATTTTAAAAAATCAACTTTGTTTTTTAACAAAACCTCCAAGCAATTCTGAAAACTGACCAGTCTTCCCCAATTCATGCTAAGCATGGCCTGCGTTTAGAGCCCATAGCTTGCTTGTTGCATGGCACAAAGGAAGCTGACCTTTCTGAACTTTCAGACCACCATGGGGACAGGGGGATACTCGAAAACAGTACTACCTATGATAGCCCAACAACCCTATTGGTTTACAGAATGGAAGTGTTTCCCAAAGGGGGCCATACTACCCTGCCCTGGAGTGCTAGACCTATCGAGGTGGGGTACAGGCTGCAATAACAGATACCTACACTTTATCCAGGATTACAGGCTACACTACAAAGGTTTTCATTGCCAAGGGAGCACCCAATAATTTTTTTCTGAAAAGAGGGCAGCAGTCAGTGTAAGTTTCAGAACCTATGATGTAGGTGAAATATGATTCTGAAATGTAAAATACTTGTGGACATTGGTCACATGGCTACTGTGGGCATCTCATCAACGTCAGCAGTGTTACAAGGCAACTCTGAGAATATCGGCAGCCTGATTTCACTCACTCGATATCGTGAATACATAGTGAGCATCTGTCATGTCCACCTAACATGATGTTGCCACTCACCTTTGCCAACATAATCCTCGTCTTTGCCACATCCAGAGGCGTGGTGATCGCAGCTGCAAATCCACCTGCAGACACAACACACCAGGAAGAGATTGCTTACTGGAAACAGGGTAATATTATAATGTTTTAAATTCCTCAAAACTCTGCCAAAAACACAACTGGGCCCTCTTCACTGACTCAAGAATGGGATTTGGGCATGCAAACTCTTTATCCACATGCTCCAGAGCTTCTGCAGGGACTGAGAATTCACGTAACAGAGGTGACCGACAGTGCGTTACACGCTCGGGTTAATAAAGGAAGGAAATAAAAGAGGCCCCACAGTTTCCATAGAAACTTGGCATGGGTGCATACAGGGGCTCCAGAAAGGTCATGGAAAAATGGAATTAAAAGATGGTGGCCTTTCCCATGACCTTTTGGAGCCCTTCTTAGGGGCAGATAGATACCCACACTCGATTAGAGGCTGCTCCTGTGCTCCTGACTGGCAGGCCCTGGGCCTTCTGCTGGGCCCACTGTTCTTTACACTGACCCGAAATGCGCCCACCTTCTCTACTCCATATGAGGCCACGTGGACAAACAGAAACGTGTATCACTATGAGGATGTGGGCTCAACAGGCTGGACGCCAAGCAGGTTAAAGGAGTAAAGCTCTCTCAGTGTCACGGCTTCCTTCCAGAAAACAGGCCAATTAGAGTAACCACCTTTCCAAGCTCTCCGCTACTGCTGTGTCTTCTCAGTCTTTCCTTCCGGTGGCTTCCCTCCTACCTCCCTTTTCTCCTTTCCTCAATTGAAGTCCCATGATTGCCAAAGCACACACCCCGTTTACTGGTGTCAGGATTTTACATAATACGGTACAGAATACATTTCAAATCCCACGAGACCCTGGGGAGAGACGGCCAAGGTTCTCAGAAATAGGCAACTCAAAGGGCTTCCTGAAATCAGGCTGGCACCCGCGAGGGGGGTCAGCAGTTGTACAAGGGAGGCCTGGGGAGAACACACACGTGAGAGGGATGCTCCCGAAGTAGCACTCTGCTCCAAGTTGGGTGGCATGTGGACCAGACAGCCACTGAGCTCTACCGAACAGCTTTTGAATATGCAGCCAAAATACAATCATGACCCTGACCCTCCTCCACTCGGTAACAGTTAGGATGCCCATGCCTCTGTCAGAGATGTACCAATTTATGATTCATGTTCTGTGTTGCTTAACCAGGAATGACACAGCCTGAAAGAGAACTGATTCCCACAAACACAGAGCTCCCTGCTCCTGTAAAGAGTTACCGTCTTGGAAACCCACAAGGCAGTTTCACCCTGCCCCATAGGGTCCCTGTGAGTCAGGATCAACCCAATAGTGGGGAGTCTGAGTAGTCACAGACATGTTTACATGATGAGCACGTAAACAACATTATTCCACATGAAAAAGTTGCCGAGAGTCAGACTTGATAAGGTTCAAGTCTTCTAAAAATATGTCTGTGCAGTCCTGAAATCCTACTCTTAGTATTATTTTTTGAGTCATGTTTTCTGCTTTAGAGTAATAATACACTTTTGATCATGGAAACATTACTCGGGAAAGCTTTGTGTCCAGCAAACAAAAGATCTTGAGAAACGAAAGGGCAGGGGGAGTAGAGAGAGGAAGGGGGAGTGGGGGCAGTGGACCTACACTCTCCACCAAGGCTTCCCACCCCGAACATCAAAGGGGGCTTTGTTTCCCTCTCTGACGCTAAGGGCTAGCTTCTCTGGAGTCGGAATGACCTCTGCTGCTTGGCCTTGGGTAAAGGTCTCATTCTACAGTTGACGGACACTCTGAAAATGGATGGCCCCCCAGGTGGGGACTTGGCAGCTTACAGGCTGCCTAACTTGTCGAGAAGGTGGGAGCTGGTGCAGATCAGAGACGACACAGCCTGTGTGACTCCTTCAGAACCTGACCTCTTGGGCACTCTCCTCGTGAGCTCCGTTTTCTCCCCAGTGAAGTACATATAGTAGCGGCTACTTCTTCAAGAGGAGAATGAACTGAGTCTCTGCTAAGTATCTAAAACTAGACCTCGCCCACAGGTGATTCACTGTCTTCTGGGTGGGCAGGGATGTGAGAGTTTTCTTCCTAGTGTCATCCCACCACACAGGGTAGGCTATCAAACATGCTTCATGGGCCCCAGAGACAAAGGTCTAGTTTTCACAAATTGAAGATTACCACTTGTTCTCTAAAAGGGAGGCAGGAGGGAGACTGGGATTTGTGGTTTGCCTCCTTGTCTCTGGCACACCAGTCCTATAATAGTCACAGGCATTGATTATGTAATCTTATTTGCATAGATATTAAGGGTTCTTTTAAAATCATTTTATTGGGGGGGTGTCTTATAGATATTATAACAATCCATAAATCAATTATATCAAGTGAACTTGTACATATGTTGCCATCATTTTCAAATAAGATTCTTTTTCCCTTTCCTCCCCTACCCTTCTGCTCTTGTGAACCATCAGTGGTTCATGGTAGCATATATATATCTCACACTATCCGTCCGCTATATATACCCTTCACCCACATTTCCGCAATTCGTCCCTCTGCTATTCATTATACATCCACCATTGCTATCAGTTCTCCCTTTCTCCCCTCCTCCCTGCTCCCCATATCCTCATGGTATTGCTACTCCCATTACTGTTTCTGAGGGGGTTATCTGTCCTGAAACCCGTGGGTCGAAAGCACTTATCTGTACCAATGTACATATTCCAGTCTAGCAGAATTTGTGAGGTAGAACTTGGGTCATGCTAGTTGGGGAGGAAGCATTAAAGAGCTAGAGGAATGTTGTTTCACCTGTGTCATACTGCACCCTGGGTGGATCATCCCTTCCATGTGACTTTCCTGTGAGGGAATGTCCAATTGTCTAAAGATGGGCTCTGGGTCGTCACTCTGACCCCTTTCCTTCACATGGATATAGTTGTTTGTTTTTGATCTTCGGGTATCTGATCCTGCCAACAACCTCGTGATCAAACCAGCTGGTGTGCTTCTTCCATGCGGGCTTTATTGATTCCCTGCTAGATGGCTGCTTGTTTAACTTCAAGCTTTTAAGACCCCCCACACTAGATCTTTTAATAGCCTGGCATCATCAGCTTTCTTCACCACATTTGTTTATGTACCTATTTTGTCTTCGGCGATCGTGTTGTGAAGGTGAGTATCACACACTGCCAAGATATTAGAACAAAGTGTTCTTATGCTGAGGGAAGACTTAAGTAAGTAAAGGCCCAGAGTCTGTCTGCTACCTTAATACTTTAAAATATAACTATATGTACACGGACCAATATCCCTATCTTTATATGTTAATATATTTACATATATACACGTCTATAATTATGCCTCTATAAATAGCTTTTACCTCCTAGTCCATTCCTCTATTTCAATACTAAGGGTTCCTGATGGTGCAGTGGGTTAAGCATTGGGCTTCTCACCTACAATGCCACTGCTTCAAATGCAATAGCTGCTTCAAGGGAGCAGTTCCTTGGCTGTGTGTTCCCATTACAGTCTTGGAAACCCTAAAGGGCAGTTCTACTCTGTCCTATAGTCACTATGAGTTAGACTGAACTCAACGGCAGTGTTCTTCTATTTTTTATATACAGCTATTATTCCTGCTTCACAACAACCTGAGCAGGGCCACACTCCTTGTATGGAGTCAGCACTTAACAGTCAGGCATATCTTGGCTTCAAAAGTACTGCTCTTTGCACTACACAACAGCATGGATATGGATGATGAGACAAATGACCATTTGAAAGACTCAGAAGTACATACACCATTAACTGTCCTAAAGCAGTGGATGCATCTGAAAGGTTATCAGGGAAGATCATCATCTGTCCCGATCTGCTCGCTCAAACTTTTAAGAATCATCTATGTTGAAAATCATTTGCCTTCTAATAAATTTGGACACATAATAAAGACTCGTTTTGTCTATTGCACAAGTTTACTTCCCTTCACTGTGGGATGGCTGCCTATCTGTTCTATTAGGGATTTATGAGGACCCGCAATCAATTTCTTTAAGAAAAGTTCAAAACAAACACACAGAAGGTAAAACAGGTTCTATGATGGAAATCATGATAGAAACTGGGCTTTAAATCAATGTGAATGTCTTTAAATATAAAACATTTTCTGAATTCACGAACTTCACCATATTTCAAGAAGGCCCCTAAAAAGGATTTGTGAAGAAAATGCAATGAGTAACTGATCATAATGGGGTAGAGGGACCTGTACTTTCCGTTAAAATGTGGTTATTTTTTATGTTTTCCCTCACAGGACCATAAAGTACTGGCGATAAATATAAGGAACACACTAATATCTCATCTCCTCATGAGCTCCGTTTTCTCCCCAGTGAAATGTAGGTAGTAATGGCTACTTCTTCAAGAGGAGAATTAAATGAGTCTCTGGGAAGTGTTTAGAACTGTGCCTCGCCCACAGTGCCGAACAGGTGGAGATAATTATTGGTACAGCAGCTGTAGGCTTCCTTTTTGTTCAAATTTCATGTGTTCCCACGGCCTCCATTCGAGCGAGGTTTTACTGAACGCCTGCAGTCAAGGAGCAGATTCAGGGTAAAGCAAACTTTCTAAGTGAAACTGCATCTCAAGTGTCCTTGGGGAGCAACTGCAGGGTCTTTGTTGATTTCTCAACAGAGCAGCCACCTTTCTAAACAGGCCTGGAGCAGTCACTGCCAGGCAACAGCTGGGAATGGAGTGGGAATGCCGAGCCCAAACCTGGAAAAGCCAGTTGCCACTCAAGGTTCCCAGACTTGCCGCCTCTAAGGAGACCAGGGGGAGGGAGGCATGAACATCTTCACGCACCTGTGTTACATAATCTCCAAAACTTAAAAGCAAATGATAACCAAAAAAAAAGTATATGTGTTCTAAAGGTTGTGTCAAACCTTCTCACCCCTTACCCAAACAGCCCCCTTTCGCCCCACTCTAGAATTCCCCAGCCCTGAAAAGATCTTCTCTTTTAGGGGATGTGAGTAGTTTGTTAAGAAAAATTGAAGACCAAGGTAGCAAATACCATTATAGTAGTAAATATTATAATTACTTAGACTGCATTGCAATTTTCTACTTAGAAGTTAGTTTTAAGTGAGGGAGCTAGCAAAGTCCTTGTATTTTTCCTAATTTTACTCCTGACCAGAAGCCAAGGATATTCTGTACCTGACGGCCACTGACCCCTCCAATCTCAAGGGCTGTTTTTAGAAATGTAAGCCAAGTAGTTCAGAGAAGAAGCATGGGCACACGAAGAGTGGCTCGTCTGCACTGAGCCAACCAGCTTAGACTCGGAGGAGCACACAAGGATGAGAAATCTGATTTTTGCTTTAAGGCAAGTTTCGTAACTGCTTTCTGGGCCACCAGCAGCAGAATGCAGCATGCTGGCAAGTCATGTTTGAAAGGGACCGCCCACATGGCCTGTCCTGGGTCAGTTCTCTGCACCGTGTACTGAACGCTGTCACAGGCTCGGGCAGAGCTCACCTTTTCCCACCACCGAGTGCTTCCCTATGACAGCGACCACTGCCGTGACCTGCTTCCTCTATGTGATCATGCCTACCAAATACAACTTCAAAACACCACACGTAACAAGCGCCTGAGTTTATCTGGTACCAAATGTGTGTGGATCCACTGACTGTTTCAGATCCTGGAGAAACGTCCACTTATCAGGACCTCAGTTAAAAAAATAAAATGATTCTACCAGAGATGACTATATATAGTGATATTATCAGTATATCTTCCTTTACAATTGAGCAGCAGAAACACGGGATGGCAATAAATTATCATTTTCCAGAGATTGATTGTTTTTATGGCAATGGCAGTCATTTCCTCCAGGTGGCCAATTTTACAGATCACAAAATACTAACACATACAGTGCCTCACTTAATCTCCGAGGACAAGTGAGGAAACTGGAGCTTGGGAAGGCCTGCGTATTTGTTAGTTGGATGAAGAAGCAGAGCCCTGACTGCACTCCTCAGCAGTCACCGGAGAGTGAGTGAATGAGAGTAAGTGAAAGTGCGTGAGTGAGAGTGAGAGTGAGAGTGAGAGAGGGCCAGTAACAGTGAGGGTGGGTGAGTGAGTGAGTGAGTGAGTGAATGAGTGAGTGAGGGTGAGTGAAAGAGTGAGTGAGTGAGGGTGAGTGAGAGTGTGAGAAAGAGTGAATGAGTGAAAGAGTGATAAGAGAGTGAGAAAGAGTGAGTGGGAGTGAGTGAGTGAGTGAGTGAGTGAGTGAGTGAGTGAGGGAGGGTAAGTGGGAGTGAGTGAGTGAGTGAGTGAGTGAGGGTAAGTGAGAGTGTGAGAAAGAGTGAGTGAAAGTGAGTAAGACAGTGAGAAAGTGAGTGGGAGTAAGTGACAGAGTGAGAGAGTGAGGGTGAGTGAGAGTGTGAGAAAGAGTAAGAGAGTAGAAAGAGTGAGTGAGGATGAGTGAGTGAGTGAGTAAGAGTGAGAAAGGGTGAGTGAGGGTGAGTGAGAGAGTGGAGAATGAGCAAGAGTGAGTGAGAGAGTGAGAAAGTGAGTGAGAGTGAGGGTGAGTGAGAGTGAGAGAGAGTGAGGGTGAGTGAGAGTGTGAGAAAGAGTAAGAGAGTGAGAAAGAGTGAGTGAGGATGAGTGAGTGAGTAAGAGTGAGAAAGAGTGAGTGAGTGAGGGTGAGAGAGAGTGAGA